TGAACATTTTAATTCTATTACCGGAGTCAGGTGCGCAGCTCATTCTGGTAAGGAGGGTCCTTGAAGTCACAATTTGAATGAATGAGCCAGTAATCAGCCAGTACTTGAATCCCTCGGAGTGTGGTCTGGTTCTTTGATTGTCGAGAGCTGCTCCCCGTAGTCCCTCTGGTCAAGCCGAGGGATTACGCTGTGTTCCGAGTATCTCGCTTTTTTCTCAAATATTGTTCGATCGCGACCTACACAGCACATGTCCGAATTGTCCTCGTTCAATCAACGTAGTTTACTGCAGTACACTGACATTTTTTCGTGTTTTCATCGCCGACCACATCAATTCTACTCCACGGACTCATCTATTTCTCTGTAGGCTAGGTATGTGACATGCATACTTGCCCTCATAGTCATCGTTACGTTTGAGTACTTTTTTTCAAAGTTTTGCGACGACCTTCTCGAAGTGATTTACTGCCCAAGATCGCTACGAAACGTGGATGTTCCACGGAAAATTATTGTCCTGGTAACAAAAAAAAAGCGGTAAACTTCACAGAATCACGAAACTTCTTTTCAAATACAAATAGTTCATTAAGTTACTTTGAAGGGCTCATAAGTTTCCTTTTTTTGGAAACATGCACTTGTCACGAATTTCTGAAGAGTTTCTTTTTTACGACTTGTTCAATGACGTTGACAGAGTTCTGGGATGTGCTGAGTGTGCCGAATGCCTGAAATGAATGGGATCTTGTTTTTCAGTTCGTAGTTTCTGCAAGGGCTGACTTGCAGAGTACATGAAAATTAAGCGCGCCGGAGCGATGCGGTTAACTTTATAAGAATTAGAACCAAAAAACTGCTGACACTCTTACTTACGCAAAGACTTCGTTTATAGAGTAATTTATCTCGAATTAGGCCAGAGACATTCAAATTTGACATAGCTAACCGTTAAATTTATTCCTGGACCGTTACTGTATGCCCCATTCTGCCTCCCTTGTCACTGAGTGATTGCTAAAGGCATTCCGACCCAAATTGATGTACAATACGCAGAGTCCGTAGAACAATCTAGAGAAAATAGTGCTGCCTGATCCTTCCATACTAGTCGGCTTGAATTTCTGACCATTTTGTAGGTGAAGATTGAGACTATGCTCCAGTGGTTCCTGAAACAGCTTGACATTCATCTTTTCTATTAAAAACTTCAGGACAGATATTGATAGTTTCCACTTGCCTATGCCACTGTCAGACCGTCAGACCCCCGAACTGTCTTGACCAGAGAAAACCCTGCACAAAACACTCAAGAACTGGTAAATGAACCTAATTTGTAGGAGTTTCGTGTACAGGGAGTGGACAAGTTAGTCAACCGAACCAGCCAAGTGTTCTGCTATAACTTTTCGGGACACTTTCAGTGTCGGAAATAGGATGGGAAGAGCGCTCGTGGAAGTAGGGGAAGGCAGAGGGAGTCCTTAGGGGAAAAGGGGTATCGGGGCGCATAAATATGGCGGTTCAGAAAAAACGAAGTACCATGACCCAAAAATGCCGCCCAAATATAATACTTTGGTGGAACTGAATACAGATGATAAAAGGAAGGGAGTGGGTAAGGGTGGAAGCGGGGAAGCGAAGAAGTGCGGAAAGAGGGAGTGGGGGAAGGATAGTTGGTTCTTGTTGTTATTAAGAGAATCGTCCATCGGTACAGATAACAGATACAAGTTTAATGGTAACTGGTAATGTTTTGTGCCTATGATGAGATAAGTGCTGTGCCTATAGACGACTACGTTAGGGAGCAGGAGTGAGTATGAGTATGGGTGGCCTATGCAAATTGCGTTCCCATAGACCGTCTTAGAATGCGTTTCTCAAACAAAAAAGGTTTCCCATACCCTCTTGGGATTGGAACTTTTTTCAGTGCTCCTCTTACACTAGGGAATTAATAAACGTTTTTAGTTGTCCGTTCTACTCG